AAGGAGGCTGGGGGCCCAGGCAGACCGGGACAGGGGAGGATGTGCTTTGCTGGCCTTATGAGGAGAGCAGGCTTCCAGCAGGGGCCTGGGACGGTGCCAGGGGCTGCATGGCGGCGGAGTGGGGATCAGGCTGTGTCAGGTGGTGGGGAGGCTGGTTCGCCCGACGCCCAGAGTAGAGACCCACCTTGGGGGCATCCCTCCAGGAGGAGCCCAGGAGCTGGAAGCAGGCTGACCGAGGTGCCGGAGCTCAGGCTGGGGCCTCAGGCAGCCTGGAGTTCAGATCCTGGCTCTGCAGGAACTTGGGCGAGAGATTTCACTTTTCTGAGCCTCAGTTTGCCCACGTGCAATATGAGGCTAAACTCACCTATGTCAGGTTACTGTGAAGATTCTTTTTTTTTCAAAATAATGCATGTTAAGCTTGTGTCTGGTGCCCCACACTTGCCTGTGGAAGGCGGCCGTGCTATGGAAGTGCAGGCCTCTTGGCTCTCAAGGTGCCCAGGGGCCTGGGTGCCCCATCCTCATGGTGGGAATGAGACATCGGAAATTCTGGGACAAAGTCACGGGCACTGTGAGGGCCGAAACTGGAATCTGAATGTCCCTCTCCCATGGTCCGCTCTCCTCCGGCAGGGATGCTGGGGTGCCCAGATGCTCACCTGCAGAATGAGGGTCAGATGGCGGTCCCACCTCCTAGGCTTATGGGCGGGTAGAGGCGTTGAGGTGTGTGCTGGGCAGTGTTGGCCATTGCCCCGGCCCAGAGGCAGCTCTCTGTGGATGCTGGTTCTCGCTGTCTCTCTGGGATGGATGGAGGGAAGTGGGAACACAGGCTGTGTTTGGTCATGTCCTGCACGCTGTCACCTCGTCTGCAGGTGAGCTTTGCTGAGGAAGGTGTTTGGAGGGGTGGACCGATAGTAGGTTGAACTAGCTCTTGAGAACCTCTGCGGGGAGTCGGGGGTCCAAGTCTTGATGGCCTCTGACTTTGGTCTAGCAGCCCCACCCCTTGGTGCTCATAGCTGGGGGAGACAGGAGGGTCCCCACCCAGATGTCCAGGTCAGAGGGAGCCCCCAGGTGAGCGGTTAACCCCTTCCCCACCTCCCCACCCCGGGAATGTGGCTCCCAAATGCTGGTGGTCAAGCTGCTCTGACTGCATCCTTTGCCATGTGGATAAAAATACAGTTTCTTGGGTCTCTCTCAGAGCCACTTCTGGTGGTGGGGGCCCTGAGAATCCCATTTTAACAAAGGACCATGATGGGCAGCCAGATGAGGTATCGTGGGGACAGCTGCTGGGACTTTAGGTGCATCCTCCTGGCCTCTGCCCTCCAAGCTGGCCCCTCATACTGTTGCAGCAAAGTGTGTCACAGCTCAGTGTCACAGCTTAGTGTTACAGCAACCTGGATCTGGGCGAGAGACCAAGCAGCACTCGGAGAGCTGGAGAACTCAGGTTTATTACGCCAGCAGGCCCAGAGGAGTTAACACTCCAAGCACTGGACCCCGTCTGTGGGTTTACACAGGCTTTTATAGGCTGCTAGTCTATACTTCGCAACATCATATGCAAATAAGGTGTAACAAAGTTGACTGTTTAGGAATGAGCTTTGTAGAAATGGATCAATCAGGAGTGGTAGAAATGGACCGATCAGGAGTGAGCTCCATTCAAATGAGGTGCTACAAATGGACCAATCAGGAGTTAGCTCAGGGAACCTAGACTCTTAGGGGTAAGTTCTGCTTTCCTAGAAGCAAGCCGTTTCAGAGGGAAAAAATGAGATGATGCCACTGGGCCAGGGAACCGGATGGTGCTGACAGGAGAGTAGTGGCCCTGCCTGGGGGTCCTGCCCGTCTTTTTCATGGGGCTTCCCACCTCAACAGGACTCAGTGACCCTCCTGAAGTATGGACAGGCCCAGGCTCCCTGCTGAACACCCCTTCTTAATTCCCTGTGCCCTCAGGGTCAAGCCCAGGCTGACAGACGGCTACCAGGCCTCTGATCCAGCCCCGTCCTGCCCACCCGTGGGCCTCATCTCCTGCGGCAGAAGCCTGACTGTGTTGGGCTCCCCTCTGCTGGCAGCCCCTTCGCTCACCTCCACTCTTCCCTCCCGAAGCTCCTTCCTGACCTGCCCACCCTGGTCCACCCAGGGACCCTGGTCTGTGCTCCCATAATCCCCTGTGCACATCGCTCCCCCCACGCCCACCAGGGACTTTACAGTTGTCTGTCACTACCAGCCCACCTACCCCACCCCACCATGAGCTCTTGGTGCCTGGGGCGGCAACCCTGGGCAAGCAAGCCCGGCACGGGGTCAGCCTCAGTGGTGGCTCGCTGAGGGAAAGAATACAGGATACAGGTTGGAGGAATGAACAGTGGAAGGCTTCCTGGGGGAGGTGGCCGTGACAGTGGCCCTCAGGGAGCCCACTGGACAAGGCCCTGGCCCTCTGTGCGTCTTACGCAGGTTTACAGGCGCTATGGTGCGGAGTATGGTGCCCTCACCCGCCCAGACGTCACCTTCACCTACTTCCAGCCCGAGCGGCGGCAGGCCTGGGCCTGGGCTGCCGTGCGGGGGGCCTGCTCGGTGAGCTGTGGGGCAGGTGAGGCCTGAGGCATGGCTCGCCCGAAGCCTGCTTGCCCCCTGCACGGAGGTGGCCTAGCGTCCCTCTTCCCTCCCAGGGCTGCGCTGGGTGACCTACAGCTGTCGGGACCAGGCCAGCGACCAGTGGGTGGAGGCTGCCCGGTGCGGAGGGAGCTCGCAGCCAGCGGCCTGGTCAGAGTCCTGCGCCCCCCAGCCCTGCCCCCCGTAGTGAGTACTGTCTGCGGCTCCAGCCGGGGTCACCGCGGCCACAGGGCCCTCCCTGGCTCATGGGGCCCATGCGGGTGGGTTGGGCCAGCAGCTTCTGGGCGTGTTTCCGTTAAGTCCTGAGACGACCTGTGAGCTGTGTTCTGTCCATGTCCCCGTATGGCAGGTGAGGACAGTGAGACTCGGGCAGACACAAGTGACAGTGTCAGCCTTGGGTGACCACACCCACTGCCCCTTGTCTGGGGCAGCACGTGCCTTCTCTGAGCTCTGGTGCTCACCACAAGGTGGAGGAGACTGCCTTCCCTGGGGAGGTGGGGCTCAGGGAGGTAACCACGCTCTGGCAGGTATGGCTGGTAGGAGGTAACGTTAGGGGTATGGCTGTCCCTGTAGGGTGCAGGCTGGAGCGGCCACCCCCAGCACGTTTATACAGCCGTCCTGGCCTCAGGTGCTGCTCCAGGATGCTGGGGAGCTGGCAGCTGGGCTGGCTGTGCCTGCACAGTGTCCAAGTACCTGGAGGGACACTGGCCCAGCCCAAACCAGGGGAGTGGGTCACCTAGAGACGGATCTGCTGGTCCCCTGCCCTGCATCCCCGCCCTGAGCCAGCCTGGGGACCCAACCAGGAGCCCCACGCTGTGTTCTTCTCCTCCTCAGCTGGGTGGCTGGAGACTTCGGCCCGTGCAGCGCCTCCTGCGGGGGCGGCCTGCAGGAGCGGGTGGTGCGCTGCTTGGAGGCCCAGGGCGGCCTCCTGAGGACGCTGCCCCACTCCCGGTGCAGAGCGCTGGCCCAGCAGCCAGTGGCTGTGGAAACCTGCAGTTCCCAGCCCTGCCCCACAAGGTGAGCGCAGGGCTGGGGTAGGGCCCCCCCAAGGCCAGATCCAGGCAGGGTCTCCCTGGCAGGGCTTGGCCCTGCGCTGAGCCCTGCCCCTTCTGAGTGTCCCCTCTTCCTGAGGCCTCTGGCCGGGTCCCCCATCCTGGGTGAGCACCAACTTCAGAATTACCTTCTGTCCAGGAGACCCTGGACCGGCCATTTCCGTCTCTGAACTTCTGAGTCTGCTCATGGAGGGGCTGTGAGGACCAAGGGAAGCCATGAATATAAAGCAATTAATGTCACTGTGTCATTGCTACTGTCAGTTCCACGCTGCCTCTCATCCCCGTGGTGTCCCAGTTGACAGGAGCTTCTTACTCTGATTTGCCACTAACTGGCTCCATGACCCGGGCAAGTCCCCTGCCTCTCTGGACCCCAGTTTTGTTGCCTGTCCAGTGGGGCGGGGGGTGGCCTAGGTCCCTGGTGGGCCACACGTGGCTCTGAGCATCTTTCCCCACCTTGCATTCATGGCAGACTTAGCAGTCACCACTCTTTCCCACCGAGGGCAGATCTTGCCTCAGAATCCTTCTCAACACAGCACTCCAAGCAGCCACCACCTCTCAGGGTTGGCAGGCGAGATGCACTTCCCGTCCTTGACCTGGTGATCCGACTGCATCCAGCCCTGGTTTCTCAGCACCTGCTCGGTTGCGTGGGGCGATGCTGTCGTCTGGTTGGGGGCCTACCTTCACCTCTGGAGGGCGGGAGGGTCGGGGCCTGTGTCATTGCACCTTGGTTGCCAAGTCAAGTGCCAACAGCAGCTCACCCAGCCTTCTGGGTAGGCCCCTGGCCTTTGCCTCTTTGTGGGGATCCCTCTTTGAGCTCTTGGGGAGCAGGGTCACTACCTCTCTGCCATGGGAGCTGGGCCGTACCTACTGCCCGGTAGCAGAGGCGGGGCCTGATGGCTGTCCTGTGCTGTCCTCAGGGAGGTGTCGGACACGTGCTCATCGGCCTGTGGAGCAGACCTGGCCGGGCAGAATGCGACTTGTGTGCTGGAGACAGATGGCGCGGAGGAGTTGGTGACTGCTGGGGCCTGCTCCACAGACGAGAAGCTGGCTACACTTGAACCCTGTGTCCAGGCAGCATGTCCTCCAGGCGGGGGCCATGTGAGTGTCCTGGGCGCAGGGGCTCTTGGGTCCTCATCTGGCCAGGAGGATGGAGAGCACTGGCCTCCCAGCCAGAGCTAGGAGACTGTCCTTCTTCAGGGCTGCTGTCCCCCTGGTCACAGGATCACCTTAGAGCCCGGGGTCTGCTGGGAAGCCCTCTTCCCGCTGGCACTCAAGCTGATGAACCCAGGCCCTGCTGGAAGGCTGTCAGTTCTCTGCTGCATGGAGAAACGCTGTCACGCTCTGGCCGGTGTCCACGGGTTCAGGGCCGGCGGTGTTGCTTTCAGACCAGGGTGCTGGCCAACCCTGTCCCCCTGCTGCCCCTGCCATGGCGGTGGGGATGGCAGGGCCAAGGGGGCCTGTGAATCTGCTCCTGAGCCCCAGCTCAGCCCTGACCACTCACGCTGATGCAGAGGCCAGGGTGGGGCGTGTGGGGAGGTGTCCGTTGGGGGCCAGGAAGCAAGTCCCTGGGAACGGGGCAGCCCTCTGGGGGCCTGGTGACCACTTCTGCTCTCTCTGAAGAGACTGGGATGGGGCCGGGGGAGTGGAGGGCCAGGTGCTCAGGGGTCCGGAGCGGGGAGCCCAGATCTGCCCCTGATTGCTTGCTCCCTGCAGCTGGACGCCCAGGCACCGGGGGAGGAGGCTGCATCTGCAGAGGGCAGGGCCAGGCTGGAGGCCCCTGCCACACACGTGTGGACTCCCCTGGCGGGGCCGTGCTCTGTCTCCTGCGGGCGAGGTGAGGCCCCCGGAGCTTCTGAGGGCCAGCTAACTCTTATCTAAGAAGCACTTGAGGTGGCTTGCAGAAAATCCGACTACACGAGACATGACATCGTGTGCGGGGAGACGGGGGCAGAGTACAGGCAGCCACGTGCATGTGCGCAGTGATCAGCTGGGGGGTCACAAACACAGCCAGACTGGCACCGAGAGGCCTTTCTTAAGGTCTGAGGTTGGCCCCAGGCTTAGCTCTAAGCTTCCTGGCAGCCAAACCAGAGTAACGAAATTAATTCTTTTTGCATTCTTTTTTATTGACGTAGTCAGTTCAAAATTAATTCTAAGATACACAGTGGGGTTTTTTTTTGAACTAATATTTTTCTTTTTAATTTTTATTTATTGTAAAATATTTTATTTATTATTATATTATTTAATTGTTTTATTTTGGTAGGGGGAGGTAATTAGGTTTATTTTTAGAGGAGGTACTGGGGATTGAACCCAGGACCTCGTGCATGCTAAGCATATGCTCTACCACTTATCTATACCCTTCCCCCTTATTTTTATTTTTTTATTGAATTATAGTTGATTTATAATGTGTTAATTTCTGGTGTACAGCACAGTGACTCAGACGTACATACATTCCTTTTTATATTCTTTTTAATTATAGACTACTACAAGGTACTGTATATACTTCCCAGTGCCTTATAGTAGACCTTGTTGTTTATACACAATGTTCTTTTGTTTTTAATTTTATTTTTTATTGAAGTGTAGTTGATTTACAATATTAGTTTCAGGTGTATGGCAAAGGGGTTCAGTTATACAGATACATGCATATGGACATTTTCTTTTCAGATTCTTTTCCATTATAGGTTAGAATAAGAAATTGAATATAGTTTCGTGTGCTCTACAGGAGGTCCTCATTGTTTATCTAGTTCATATATAGTAACGTATATACTGTGTTCTTAAGCTAAAACTCTAACCACTTGCTCAGTCAAATGCCCGCGTGTTGAGAGTGGAGAGGTTTCTTTTGAGGATACTCCAAAAGGAGAGATGAGAGGCCCTGATAACGTCTTTGTGATAAACACTGTTGGAGATTGTCTTAGGGCAAGTCTTAACGACATCTCTCAAGAAACAAGATCAGCTACCACTGTTGAACACCTACCACATGCCAGGCACTTTATAGCTCCCCTTTAAAAATAGCCCTCCAAAGTAGGCACCATTAGATGAGAAACCTGAGGCTCAGAGAGTTTAAGACACTTGTCCAAGGTCACACAGCTGTAAGTGGCAGAGCCAAGACTCATACCTGCGTAGGCCTGATCTGCTAGGGCTCTCCAGAGAGCTGGGCCCCTGTGGTCCTTGTTGAGCCCTCCTCCTTCCTCCCTGCAGGCCTGAGGGAGCTGCGCTTCCAGTGCACGGACTCTGCCCTCAGGACACCCGTTGGGGAAGAGCTGTGTGGCTTGTCGAGCAAGCCCGGGAGCCGGTGGGAGGTCTGCAGGGCTGCCCCGTGCCCAGCCTGGTGAGTCAGGGGGAGGGAGACTGTGCGGAGGGGCAGCAGCCTGGGTTCCCCCGTGGAGGAAGGAGCCTGACCCTGGGCGTGGCTTCCTGCGGGGCACTGGCCTTTCCTTTCTGCAGGTGGGAGACCCGAGCCTTGGCACCATGCCCAGTGACCTGTGGAGGGGGACAGGTGCCGCTGGCTGTTCGCTGTGTGAGGATGGACCAAGGCCGCTCCATCCCCCTGCCTCACTCTAAGTGCTGGCCGTCACCTCGGCCCAGACCCCTCGAGGACTGCAGCCCGGAGCCCTGCCCTGCCAGGTGGGCCCCTTCCCGAGAGACAGCAGGACCTAGGGGGGCATCTTGGACGGGCGTCATCACCTCCCAGTAAGCTCCTGCCCCTTGGCGTCCTCCCCTGCAGGAGTGAGCCACACCGGTGCCTTGGAGGGCTGTGGGGGCTTAAAGTGTGTGAAGTCCGTCACCCAGGATCTGGGCGGCTGTGGGCGCACGTGGTTGATGGGTCATCTGTTTCATCACTTGCTGTTTTTTGAGAACCTACTACGCCCAGGTGCTGTTCCGGCACCAGGGACCCAGCAGTGAACAAGACAGACAGGAATCCCTGCCCTCCCGGAGCAGTCGCTGTGGGAAAGGGGGGGGAGACCACAAACAAGACTGGTGGAGGCCACAGAGTCTGATGTGTCTTGTCGGAGCGATGCGGCAGCACAGCGGGAAGGACTAGGGGCTTGGCGGGACAGGTCCGCGTGCTGGGGCTGGGGTTCCTACCGCAGGCACACATCCTTGCAGGGCCCCTTGGGTGCCCTGCCCCCACCCCGCCCCCACCTTTGGACATGTCTGCCCTTGGCTTCCCCTTCCATAAAATGGGATTTTCTGTACGTTCTCTGCCCATCGTGCCTGGCCTCTCAGTGGGGACGTGAAATTCGCCCCCAGAGAGAGACCCTTTCCGGCCCTTCCCAGTCTGGGGAAGTGAGGGGCGCCCCCGACGCTGGTTTGCTCCAGGTGGCGTTACAAACTGGCAGCCTGCAGTGTGAGCTGCGGGGGAGGGGTCGCGCAGAGGGTGCTGTCTTGTGGCCGGGCTCAAGGGTAGGACGAGGACGAGGAGGTCCTGCTGGACACGCAGTGCCAGGGGCTGCCTCGCCCAGAGCCGCAGGAGCCCTGCCCGCCCAGATCGGCAGCGCCGAGGTGTGCGGCAGCAGCCTGAGTGCCTGGTGTGTGCCGCCGCCGGGCCAGGCCCTGGGGGCTAAAGGGCAGCGCAGTGGCACAGGAAACAGATCGCCCAGCAGGCTGCACCCAGTGTCAGGGGTGACGGTCCAGCAAAACGCCCGCAGTGCTGTGGGTTCCAATGACGGTGTGTTGTGGGCAGGCCTGGGGGGCTTCAGAGTGGAGGAGGCAGCATCTGAGTGGAGCCGAGGAGGGGCCAGCTGGGGCACAGCGCCCACCGCCGCAGCCACGTGGGACAGGTCCGGAGACGGGGTGGAGCCCGATGGGGAAGGGCGAATAGTCACCTTCTTCGTTCACAATTCCCTTGTGGTTTCTTCTTTGTAATTTTGCATTTTAAATAATGAAATGCTCTTCTGGGTCAGACAGAAATGCCCAGAAAAGAATGTAAGTCGCCCATGTCCTACCCTGAGTAGACGGGAGGGGTTCAGGGCCGTACTTCTGGATCCCAGTGGCCTAGAACCGTCCTGGTTGACCGTCTGAGGAGCCCATGGGGCAGTGCCATCTCTGGGGAGGCGTAACCTCTCTCTGGGGTCTTCTCTCCCTGCAGGTGGAAAGTCATGTCCCTTGGCCCGTGTTCAGCCAGCTGTGGTCTCGGCACTGCCACACGCTCGGTGGCCTGCGTGCAGCTGGAGCAAGGCCAGGACACGGCGGTGGATGTGCGGGCCTGTGCGGGTCTGGTGCGGCCGCAGACCCGCATTCCCTGCATGACTGCCACCTGCACCTACCGCTGGCACGTCAGCGCCTGGCTGCAGGTCAGTGCGTCAGCAAAGGAGCCTCACATCTGGGGACCTTGGTGGGGCTTTCATTCACTGTGATCCCCCGGAAGGAAGGGGAGACTCGGGTCTGCTGGGGAAGGAGCAGTCAGGAGGTGGAAGACACAGCAAGGCCCAGGACATGGGGCAGGGTGGGCAGCTAGGTCTTGAGAGGCCCGAAGTCTGGAGACGCCAGAAGACAGAGGGCTGACAACCCCACACGGATTAGGAAATCCCACCCTACGCCAGCACCTCGCAAGGCTCTGGGGAGACAAGGTAAACAGGGCTGGGTGCCCCCCATAGCGGTTTGTTTATAGCATGGAGGGGAGAGGAGGCAGACAGCCTCCCGCTGCCTCAGTGAGAAGGACCCTGGGCATCCAGGCCGGGGGAGATGACAGCTCGGACAGGGCAGGGCAGGGCCGGATGGCAGGGCAGACATGGCTGCGGTGAGTGTTGGAGAGCGGAAGGAGGAAGCCATGCCTCCTGGTCCCTGCTCTAGGGTTTAGAGGGCAGGGAGGCCTCCGGATGACAGTTAGAGACCTGGGCTTGAGTCCCTGCTCCTCCTCCCCGTGTGGCCCCTGCATGGTAACCTCTCTGAGCCTTAGTCTTCTTATCTATCGAATGGACACACATATCCGCCTCCTGTGTTGTGCAAAGAGCGTATCAGAGCCTGCCTGGCCTGTGGTCACTGCAGACTCCCTGGCAAGGTGAGCCCTGACTCCTCCCCCTCTTTCCTGGCAGTGCTCTGTCTCGTGTGGGGAAGGCATTCAGCGCCGGCATGATGCCTGCCTTGGACCCCGGGCCCAGGTGCCCGTGCCAGCCGACTTCTGCCAGCATCTGCCCAAGCCAGTGACGGTGCGGGGCTGCTGGGCCGGGCCCTGTGCAGGGCAGGGGTCGCCCAGCCCGGCGCCCCACGAGGAAGCCACTGCCCCAGGCCAGACCACCGCTGCCACTACTGGTGCTTCCCTGGAGCGGCCCCACCCCTGGGCCCACCTCCTCTCCCCCGCTCCCTGGCCTCAAGGACTCCTGACTGGGACCCCAGAAAGCCCAGCGCAGTCCAGTTATGTTCCTTCCTCCTTTCTGTCTGGGCACCTGGCTGGCTGCAGGAGGGGTGGGCAAAGGCGTCTTCACCTGGGAGAGGCAGGACGTGCTCCTTGTGGGGGTCTCCAGGCTGGCCCGCTTCCTCACTGGTAAAGTGCAAGCTCACTTTTACAATCAACAAGGGAAAGTAACCTGAAGGTTTCACAGTCCGAATCCCGGCCTGTGTGGCCCACTATACATACTGCCTCCCTCTTGCTGGACCATCAGAGGCGGCTCTGTGCCTTGGATGGTGATGGTCTGACCCATGCAGCCCCCTCCTCGCCTGAGAAGGCTCCTGCTGGGCCGAGGAGGACATCAGCCCCCCACCCCTCAGTCTCCTTCCCCAGCACAGAAAGCCCGAGGCCCTGCCCTGCAGGGGGTGCCCCACCCGGACGCACTGCTCACCTGTCCTCCCGCTCCCCTTCCAGGTGCCTGTGGCCGGCAGCACCTTGAGCCAACAGGAACCATTGACATGCGAGGCCCAGCGCAGGCTGACTGTGCAGTGGCCATCGGACGGCCCCTGGATGAGGTGGTGACCCTCCAAGTCCTTGAGAGCTCCCTCAACTGCAGCGCTGGTAGGTCTAAGGCCACTGTCACCCGTGACTGGGCCTGCCAGGTGCCAGTGGGCATGAGTCCAGTGTGCCCCGTTGCTGAGGGGATGCTCCAGGTGCATCCCCATTTGTACCCATCACAGCCGTCTCATGACTGGGGTATGATTGTCCCCATTTCACAGATGAGGGAACTGAGGCTAGGGAAGCTTAAGTCATGTGTCCAGTTACTTAGAGTCACATAGCCAGTAAGTGGGAGAATCAGAGCCTGAACTCAGCTCAGTCCACCCCAGGCCACTGGGCTGCCAACCTGGACTAGGGGGTGCTGGGTCCTCACGGCACTGCCACTCCCTAGGGGAGATGCTGCTGCTCTGGGGCAGGCTCACGTGGAGGAAGATGTGCAGGAGGCTGTCCGGCATGACTTTCAGCTCCAAAGCCAACACACTGGTGGTGAGGCAGCGTCTTGTGCGGCCGGGAGGCGGAGTGCTGCTGCGCTATTCGAGCCAGCCTGCCCTGGGAACCTTCCACCGCGGTATGGCGAGGCGTGCCCTGCCAGAGGCTGGCCGGGTGGGTGCTGCTGCCAGCGGGGCCAGTCCCGGCTTGGTGGGCAAGGCAGACAGGGAGCTGAGCTGACTGAGGAGGAAAAGCCCTCCCTTCCCGAATACCCCCGACATCCCATCCCTGCACATGAGGTCCTAGAGATGTCACGCGTCCCTTCCTCTCTGGGGCCCTGCAGCAAGATGGGTGGACGTGGGATTCTGGCCACGTTCCCTCTGCCTCCCTCAGGCCACCGCAGCTCCACACCCTGACCCTGGCACTCAGGTTCCTCAAGATCCTTTAAGGTCTTTGTGTGAGATGCTTTCCCCAGTCCTGTTGGTGCACTGTCCTCTTGGCTTATCCTCTTCAAAGGATGGCATCCCCAAGACCCCTGCTAGCCCACGACCCCATCGGTATCCTCGGGTAGCCTTCTGGGTTGCTTCCAGGGCCTGGCCCTCTTCCAGCAGCCCAAGCTGGCTGAAGGTGGCTTCCCCCGTGGTTCCTGAGGTTTCTGGGTCCCACAGGCGTCAGGTGAGGAGTAGGACACTCGGGGGCTTCTCCCCTGCCCCTCAGTTTGAAGCACAGGCACGAGCAGTCTGTCCAGGGGCCAGCTGCCCACCTGCCTACCCCTGGATCATTTCTCAGTCTCCGCAAGCACAGGCCCCGGCCCGGAGGCGCAGGCAGGAGGCGCTGCCGTGGTTGGGGCTGATTCAGGGTTAGGCACTTTTGCCCGTGTGACTTCACCGAGTCCTAAAACCCGCCCTGTCCAGGGTGTGCTGCGGTTCTAACTCTATAGCAGAGGGAACTGAAGCTCAGAGTGTTTAAAGCTTTCACCTAGGGTTACCCGCTGGGGAAGTGGTAGAGATGGGGGTTCCGTGGGGACTTCTGCCTGGGAGCCCCGATCTTGATCACAGAGCCACACTGCTTACCTCACTGCTCCCCGGCTGTGAGCTGCCCTGGCCTCTGACAATGGTGGCCATTCTGAGGGGCTCCTGTGGCCCTGAGGTGGTCCCCAGCTGATCCGTCCACATGCTCTCCCCTGCAGAATGTGACATGCAGCTTTTTGGACCCCGGGGTGAAATCGTGAGCCCATCTTTGAGTCCAGGTGGAAGGAATGTGGGGGGCTGTCGCATCTTCATCAACGTGGCTCCACGGGCCCGGATTGCCATCCATGCCCTGGCCACAGACATGGGCACTGGAACTGGAAACTGGGGAACCGATGCCAGCTACGTCTTGGTGAGGCTACCAGGAGGGGGACAGGAATGGGCTGACTTTAACTATGATTCTGGATAGCCATGCCTGGGGGATTCTGGGCTAGAGGACCCCCACTGAGTTTACTTCAGACCAGAACCCTCAGATTTATCAGTGAGAGAATGGGAGAAAAGTTTCCTCCACTTATTCACCAACAAATGTTTGCTGAGCTCCCTACAAGACTGAAATAGAAAAGACCTTTTTGGATGCAGACTGCCATTTAACTCAGGACTGAAGCATAATTTTTGACCCTGATACAATGTTTCAGAAGAGTGGCTGAGCCCCTCCCCTGATACGGTTTTTAGGAGAACTATCCTCTGCAAGGTATTGGCTCCCTGGAGGAGGCTGCCTGGCCTCTCTAATCAGATCCCAGCTCTGGCACCCTGGCTGTGTGTACTTGGGGAGGAGGCACAACTTCTCTGAGCCTGTTTCCTAGGTAGAATAAGACTGCCTTCCTGATCATGCTGTTGTGTGAGGATGAAATGTGACCTTGAGTATGTTAAGGGCTCGTGAGTGCTAGCTCTTTGTCGTTTGTGATTGGTCCTTCGGGGCTGCTCCTTTTCTTCCAGATCCGGGACGTCCACAGCCTGAGGACAACGACATTTCGTGGGCAGCAGACACTCTACTGGGAGTCAGAGGGCAGCCAGGCAGAGATGGAGTTTAGCCAGGGCTTCCTTGAGGCCCACACCAGCCTTCGGGGCCATTACTGGACCCTCCAGACTAGAGCTCCTTACCGCGGCAGTGCCCTGCCTTAGCTTCCTCTCCAAGCACATCCTTCAGCTGACCATTGGGCACGGTGGGTGACTTCTCCCAGTCCTGGAAGGGGAAGGAAGGAACCTGTCATGTGTGAGCGCCTGTTAAATGCCTGGCTGGCGCTGGAGGACTGACTGGTGTCTGAGTACTCTCCAATCCCAATTCCCTCCGACCTTAAGTATCTCCTTTAGGGCCTCCTCCAACGTGAAATGTGGAGGGGGGACTCTTCGGAAAGGCCGTCCAGCCCCTCGAGTACCAATAAACGGAACGCGCGGTCTGAGTGGCGTTTTCTTCACATAACTTGTCCAAATGCGGCTTGAGATCCACCCACGCCTCGCACGGCGGGGATTCCCTGGCCGCGGTCGGGCTTCAGACCCATTTCTGAGCTCAGCAAACCCCTGGTCACCCCAGGCGGTCGTCTTCCTTCCCAGGGAGGGTAGGCGAGGGAGTGTGGAGTCAAGATTGAGCCCTGATGCAGGTGCACCTGTTCTCTGCGGAGCCCCGCCCCTGTGCCCGTCGGGGCGGGAAGATTTGACTGCCTCCGGGGTCCGGCGGGGCCAAGACCCGCCCCCTATGCTAAAAAGCGGGAGGCTTCTCGGGCACACCTTGTCCAGGTCCCTGCGGGCCCCACCCCTATGCTAATGAACACGAACCTCCTCCGGCGCGCCGCGCCCGACCCTGACGAGCCCCCGCCCCCTATGCTAATAAGCGCCGCCTCTCCCACAAG